GCAGCCGAGCGATTTGGAAGAGGATTAGGAGTGCCAGCCGACCGACGGCCGAGACGGCCTCTGCTCTCTGGAGGCCCATTCTCTAGCCATCGCCAACTCCAGATAGGTAAATTTCTTTTTATGTTTTACTTTCTGTTTTCTTGAGATGGTAACCTCTTGTATTAACCGAGGAAGCTGTGGTAATTTTCTGTGTGGAATAAATTAATGATTTTAAATGTGCATGAATGGTTTGGTGGGGTTTAATTGTTCTTCCTGTTGATGTAGAAATCAAGAGATTGTTTTGAAGACGAGGGCATTAATTAAACAATAAACAAGAAATTAAGAGTAAATTTCTGTTGGGATTTTGTTAAAAAATATCAAGAAATTAGCTTTAGCATTAACATATGTAAGTTCTGAGTTGGATATATTGAAGGAAGGTAATAATGGATCATAAATTTCTCATTTGTGAACTTTTATTTAAATTCTGTTTGCTTGTACTGTATGGATGGTCAATCATACCATGTAGACATCAGTCAGTTTCATCTGTTTTTTTTCCTTAGATAAATTAGAGTTGAAGTTGTTATTCTAGTGGTAAACTCATCAATGGATACTTTTGCTTACAGATATATATAAGGAGTATCCTGCAGGCATCCTAAAATAAAGAGTCTGTTAAACAGATATATTACCCAAGACACATCTTCAGACGAGGCTTCTGTTGTTATGGCTGGTGTAAGTGCTCGTTTTATTTGCTTCTAGAGCCTAAGAGTTGTTGTTGAAACATGACAAATATCTTTACATACTGTTATTATTATAGTGTCATCTTCATGGATCATTTCTTGTTTCTGGATAAAAGCTAAGATAAAGAAAGTCACATCAATCAAATAGTCCATCTCTCTGGCTCTGGTGTTGTAGAGTATACTTCAGATTTCAGTGATGGTTATAAGGAACAAATTCTCAGTTTTGGGACCAGACACCCAAGAGGAAAGGCTCAGAGGACCTGGGAAATTCTTATTGGAGATTGCCATATCAGTTATGGATGTTAAAATGCATGGTTTGTGTGTTGATGCTGCTATCATTGGCATAATGACTCCTCCATTAGCAGAGCTCCAGGTGATTCCTTATATAATTACCCTGCCACTTGCAAATGGATTCTATAGAAGTTCTTCAAATGGTCTAAGAGGTTTTGTGTAATTGTTGGGTACATGATTTCCAAAATAGTTTAAGCATAGGAACTATATTTATTCTTACAGTCAGTACATCCAAAGTTTATCTGTTGGTTTATTCTTTGTTGGCTGACCTGATCCGACCTGACTTCAAGATCCGACACCATATTTTAATACACAGGTAAAAGTGAAAAGATGACTTTTAAAAAAAAAAAAAATTCTTGAGATGTTAACCTAGAAGTGTTTAAAAAATTGATGATTTGTGCTTAACTACTTAGCTAGATATTTTTGCTTACAGATGACAATGGTATATCTTGCAGGCATCCTAAACTTAGAGTCTGTTGAGCAAAGAGAGGCATCCTAAAATGTAAACATCTTTACATTTTGTCATTATTTTAGTATTATCTTCATGAAATCTTCATGAATCATTTCTTGTTTCTGAGATCAGCTGCTAAGATAAACAAAGTCTAAAGAACATAGTCTAAGCATTTAAAAGAATTGTTTCTGTGGTTCATTTTAAGTTATGCTGCTTGTTCTTTTTCCATTAGATAATAGAAACTTTGTGAAGTTATTCTAATTTTTGAATTCAGCTGCTTTCATTGTTGGACAGTCAAGTCAAACTTACTACTGCACAGTCAATATAGGAGATGATGCTGTGATCTTAGCTTTTCATTGTGTTTTGCAATAATGAAATTTGCAGCTTATTGCATAATAAATAACACCACAAATTGATGCTTTTGTAGGTGTGCCTATTATCTTTGTCTTTTTTTTGTTATCTCCTTGACTAAATTTATTTCATCCTCTTAGACTTTCAGTAGATAGAAGCAGGTCCTTAGTGGGAGCCTTTTTGTCAAGAGTTATACCGCAGCCTGCAGTAGTTTCAACCGTTCCTTGTTTTCAACTATTACATGATATGACATAGTGGGCCAACTACCAATGAAAGTCAGGTGAATAGCCTCAACAATTTTGCATTTGATTTCTTTCCTAATTGGTTCTATTACAATGTAAAGCCTATTATTGCATAACTACAGATTGTAGGAAGTTGAAAGGCAATTCATTTATCAAAGAATCTAAATTGTTTCCTTAAGAAAACTGAGACGATGGTAGAAGATGTTAAGATCACGCAGCTCTGATCTTGTTTCTCTTTGTACTTCAGTAACATCATAATCACTTTGTTTAACAACTTCAATTTACTGTAAGTTCTATTTGTGGTGTTTCTCTCATTTTTCAACTAGCTACATTTCCTGTTATAGTTTCCTGCTTTTCCTTCAGATTTTGTTATGTATACTCACCAATGCTTTTGTAATTATGGGCTTTGATTAACAAATAGAGAGTCCTCATCATTATGAGATATGGTTAAACTGTGACAGAGATAAGGAAAGTAGTTTAGGCAAGTCTTATGTATTTCTGTTGTATTCCTGCATCCAAGGTCCTGTTATGCATTGTTTTGTATTTGTTATGGCCGCTGTTGCATTTTGAATTTTATATGCCACTAGCGTATCAGATTAGTGATTCTCCTTCTACTCTTCTGAAGCCTTACATTTGTTTAATTCTAAAGCCTCTTGAATGTCATTGATGTCATTGCAGCTTCACCTTTGACATGTTTGAAGGATCACCCTGGAAAGGGTGAAAAACTCACCTTATCCCTCAGTGGCACATTTTCTTTTTCTGTGTGGATGGAGTTGTTGGCTGCAACAACCGATACACTTGGTTGTGTATTGCTCTTAGACACTCAAGTCACTTCTTGTGGTGCAACTGTGAAAGGTTTGTTTAGTCTCGTTAATTTTGAATATATTTTTAAAAGCTGGAGCACTCTTTCTGAACAATGGATTTTGCTTACTGTTTCCGGAATATAGTGATGCAAACTGCTTGTTCATGGAGTTGTTAATCAGTAGAGATTGCCCATGTCAAGTTCCTCTTACTATTAACCAACAGAGTGACTATTGCCTCCATCCAGCTAGTCATGCACGGATGCTTCTTGGAAAGGAATTCTTGAGGTATGCTTAAATCTTTCAGATATGTTTAGATAGGAGACAGGATAAGTCCACAAATTGAAATTAATTTTCTTACTATACTTTGATTATAAGGTTTGACCCCACAAATCGCATAACTCTGAGCGGGTTCCACCTGGTTATGTGTTTCATTTGGTAACATAACACTTACCTAATAAGTCCGAGGATTCACCACATATGACATGATATGATCCATGCTACCATTGGCGACACTTGCAGGGGCGAATGCTTTTACACCAACTGAAACGAGCCGGAAGCCGCACTTTCTTATAATGTCGTTGGTCAATCACATGGCATCCCCAATCGTTGGATTTGTGCCTTAAATTAACAAGGCGTTGGATTTGTGCCTCAAATTAACAAGGCAACCTATCATAATGTTATAGGATGTCACATTAGTTAGAAATTTGATTGAATTTTTATGTTGTAACTATTGAATTTGAATTTCAAGACGAATGAGAAGTGTGAGAAGCATATGGATAATTATATTTTATGGTGTTGCTTATTATTTAAAAGAGTTTTTTGAATTTGTATTTTTAAGATATAAGTTAATTAAATAATTTTTTTTATTATAAATTTATATAAAAAATATAAAAATAGATATCAATTTTAGTATTATTATGATGTTAATA